GACAAAGTTGACACGTTAATGCACATGCACATTATTCTCCATCTCCTTTTCACCGATCTTGTAGCATATTGTTAATCACATGGCACCATTTTAGCTGACGGCTGATGTGGCACATTGACATGGGGTTTGGGGGGGCTTGGACCATTAACTAACTCAATGCTTTGGGCCAAAAAATTAATGTTGGTAGAGACATGTTTTGTCTATAATAATTACCAATTATTTACTTTGTTATCCGTTTTGATGGTACAAGATTATGATGTGATTATAATTAGGGTTTGAAGCATGGTGGACTTAATTAATTACATTAATTACAAGTAGTTATATGCTTATTTTATTAATAAAATCAATACATTATCTTCTAAATTAAGATTGAATGAATTAAATTTTGCTATTTGACTTGACAAAATGGTCACACTAAAGTGTTATATATATATAGTAGTATATCATTAAGTCAATAATGGTTAATTAAAGTAAGCAAGATATTGCTTTCACCGGTTTCTTTTTTAGATTCTACGGTAATTTGAGATTAAACAATGAATAGAGCTAAACTTTTGACATTGTAAAGAGGGAATAAAAAAAAAAAAAAAAAACCTATGAAGAGGCCTTAATTGAAACAATATGTGCTGATTTTCTATGTTTTCAACTTGGTATCTAAGTTAGGTCAATGTTTTTCCTTGATCTCTCTTCAAGCGGTGGAGTACAAGATAGATAAAGCACGTTGACATCGAAGCTTCTCCTTCTCCGAATACACTGACATATAACACATCTCAAAAAAAATAAATATATTTTAGTATCAATTTAAAAAAATAAAATTTTAATTTAAAAATATTATTTTTTAAATAATATTTTAAAAAACTAATTGTTGAATTCAATTCTGATTTATTTATAAATCATTTACGTCAATATTTGGAGACCTCAACGGACCAACCTCCTACACTCGTTCAACTCATCCATGGGCATATGAATCTCACGACATTGGATTCAAGTCAAGGACTGTTAATTATATTTAGCTCATCAAAACACGGTCTTTGTGGTCTTATAGTCGAACACGAAGCTGTCCTTGAATCATAACTACAGTTGGTTTACATGATCTTGTAATTAATTAAGTGAATCATTAGAAAATTATGCCATTCTAATTGACACTACTTGAAAGGATTGGAATCGTCTCTGTACTCTCGACACACTCTAATAAAATAAACATGCAACGATTCGAATAATCCCGGAATAATGAACTTCCACGTGAATTGCAATTATAGCATACGTAAAATAATAGTAGTCAGATTAATGTTAGGGTATTGTTAGAAGCCAGATAAGCAACTGCATTATTTAAAGAATTTTGTCGGTGTAAGATAAGAACGCCGTCGTATTTAAGTGTAGGAATTGAATGTATATGGTAATTAATTAACTAGGGAAGCGTGGAGGGAGGGGGTGTCTGGCGTATGTAGGGGACAGACAAAAGCAATAACATTTACGGCCTCGTCATTTATATAAACCATAATGTTCCCTTAGAAGCCATTGGTGCCGTGATGCTCGGCCCCTTGCTTGCACTTTAGGGTTTCATGCGTGGGCTTATTTGTCCTCCATGTTCATTGTATGTGTCACAAGCTCTATGCATACGCATGTTCCAATGTTCATGCAATTGTTGGTGTATGATGTGTATGCTTGTGATTTAGGAGCAGTTGAGTGATTAAGTAAGATCGAGGCATATATAATTAAGATGCCGATTGACAGATTTTCAGTCCTGATGAGCTTGGTTTCTAGACCATCCTTTGTGGTATTCATGTATGGAAGCTAGAAACCTATATTACAATAGAAGTGGTGGTTCTTAATTGGAAAAAATGATATAATTATAATATTATGTAGTGTTATAAATTTATAATTATATTATATCATAATATGATTGATTTTTTTTATTTAGAGATAATTTCATAATATTATATATATTTACTTATTTAATGATAAATT